ATAGCGCAAACCAAACTTCACAAATAACTGATGTTAACCACAAGGGGTATGCATCTTTCACCGGGTGCGTCAAACGGTACTGTAAGAAGAAGCCGAGAATAATAAGTCGAAGTATGATCACGACACGATACGGGGTCAAGTGAGAAGACGGAATCGGAACCACACGACTTAGAGGTTGTCTAGCATCATCCGCCCTGTGAAATGAACAAAAGATGTCAAATAAATTAGTATATAGCTGATGTTGAAGTAAAGATAAAGTACTAACATTTGAAGTTCTTCTCCATTGGAGCCAGTGCCTTCCAAGTCCCCCTTCCCTTCTGAGTATCTACTTGTCATCTGCATTATGTTCTTCTCTTGTTTCAATTTCCAACCTTCCACTCTTTCCTTCCAATCAACATTCCCAAGGCCATAAGAGTTCAAATCCTTTGATGGGTCAACAATTCTCACAGGAACTATAATAAAGTAATATGAAATTAGTTCTTAGATACCTAAAACAAAAAGGGTGTCGTGAATATCATCGAATACTCGTGCTTAGATACCTGGCTGTCGAGGGTCGACGTAAGGATGTGAGTGCAAATGCTTGTCTGGAGGACCCAACGAACCGGATGTCGTTCGTACTGATTGATTGTCGGGTGTTGCATAAGGAATTTCACTCGAAACCTAAAGAAAGCGATGTTAAATAGTTTGATGGCATAAACGTATGGTAAAATTCGAAATATGTTCATTAAGTGAAGTGTAAGTGTAACGACCCAAGCTCACCCCTAGCAGATATTGTCCTCTTTGGACTTTCCCTTTCGGGCTTACCCTCAATGTTTTTAAAACGTGTCTACTAGGAAGAGGTTTCCACACCCTTATAAAGGGTGTTTCATTCTCCTCCCCAACCGATGTGGGATCTCACAATCCACCCCCCCCCCCCCCCNNNCCCCTCAGGGCCCAACGTCTTTACTGGCACAGCGGCTCGTGTCTACCCCCCTTCTGGGAAGGGTCTTCTCGCTGGCATATTGCCCGGTGTCTGGCTCTGATACCATTTGTAATGACTCAAGCCCACCGCTAGCAGATATTGTCCTCTTTGAGCTTACTCTCAAGGTTTTTAAAACACGTGTGCTAGGGAGAAGTTTCCACTCTTATAAAGGATGTTTCGTTCTCTTCTCCAACCGACGTGGTATAAGATGTTTCGTTCTCTTCTCCAACCGACGTGGGATCTTACAATCAGCATAACTCTTCATATATAAATGCATTAAGGAATTGATGAATTCATACTGATTGGCCATTGGTAAGGAGTGGTATAGGCTGTTGAGATTCATGTCTTGTAGAAGTTGATAGCTCAGTATCTTCCCCACGCCATTGTTGTTTTGTCTTGCTACTTCCTTGGGTGTATTTAAACTCGTTCTCGATATCATCCACGTCATCCTCGTCATCATCGCCATCGACTCGGGGACTACCTGAAACAAAACAGCAGATCGTAAGCTTTTTCTTTTTTTTACTCGAGAAATGCAGCAATGGAAAGGATACATGAAAACACAATAAACCTTTGTGCCTCTTGTATCTAGTCTTGCACTGAGGGCAAGACTGGTTGCCGTCTTTCCTCTCGTACTCGTAACACGGACGACAAACAGGAAAGGCGCATTCGTTGCAAGCGACAAAGATATCACCGGAGGCCGTAAGACCAACGGTGTCGCCGCATATTTGACATATTTGGCTGTTTATGTTCTTCAGAGGTTTAGGCTGCATCATCAAAATGAGACTGAATAAGTCGCAATGCAAAATAATGTACACATCTCAATTAGTTGTTTGGCAGTTTCATAAGAAGCAGTAGCAAAGAAAATCAAGCTCTACATCAGTATTGAAACATGAAGTGATAGAAATCATCAGTATTGAAACATGAAGTGATAGAAATCGATACACCCTTGTAACGGCCCAAGGCCACCGCTAGCAAATATTGCCCTCTTTGGGCTTTCCTTTCCGGGCTTCCCCTCAAGATTTTAAAACGTGTATGCTAGGGAGAGGTTTCATCATCCTTGTATAGAATACACTTCGTTCTCCTCCCCAATCGACGTGGGATCTCACAATCCACCCCCTTTGAGTCCAGCATCCTCACTGACACTCGTTCCCTTCTCCAATCGATGTGGGACCCCCAATCCACCCCCCTTCAGGACCTAGCGTGGCACACTGCCTCATGTCCACCCTCCTTCAGGGCTCAGCCTCCTCACTGACATATCGCCCGATGTTTAGCTCTGATACCATTTGTAACAGCCCAAGCTCATTGCTAGCAGATACTATCCTCTTTGGGCTTTCCTTTCCGGACTTCCCCTCGAGGTTTTAAAACGAGTCTGCAATGGAGAGGTTTCCACACCCTTATACAAAATGCTTCGTTCTCCTCCCAAACCAATGTGGGATCTCACAATCCACCCCCCTTTGGGGCCTAGCGTCCTCGCTGACACTCATTCCCTTCTCCAATCTATATGGGACCCTCAATCTACCTCCCTTCAGGGCGCAGCATCCCTGTTGGCACACTGCTTCGTGTCCACTCCCTTCAGGGCTCAGCCTCCTCACCGACACATTGTTCAATGTCAGGCTCTAATACCATTTGTAACAGCCCAAGCCCACAGCTAGCACATATTGTCCTCTTTGGATTTTCCCTTTCGAGCTTCCCCTCAAGGTCTTAAAACATGTCTGCTAGGGAGAGATTTCCACACCCTTATACAAAATGCATCGTTCTCCTCCCCCAACCAATGTGGGATCTCACACCCTTAATTACAAATAAGAACCAAGCTGCAAACAAGCAGAAATCAAAGTCCCCAATGCTAAAATCCAAGCAATGGACGAAAGAGAACAGCCCACAGTCTATCTTCAACTAAGACATTGAATCTTAAGCTCAATCATCAATCAGTATATCAAATCATCACAGGGATCCACACAATATTTCAATCGAAATAGCTCAAAAGAACAGAACCGATCTAGTTCTACAGAATTACAGAACTAACAATCAGTTCCAAATCCCCTAAGAAGACAAATTCGCAAACGAGAAGAATCAAAGGAAAAAAACAAATACAATCTGAACGTCCACTTCACAGATCAACACACCACACACTAAGTAATACTAAGATCACAAAATCAAAAACGAAGAACTAAAATATTGATTTGAAGATCGGATTGAATATTGATGAATTAAATGAATGTGGATGAAGTCTAACCCCATTGTCGGAATCATGGCGAATACGAACAAGCTCATTCCTCTTGTAAGATCCAGCCACCAATCCCGCATTTGCTTCCATCTTGTCGGAATTTCTTCAGATTCCGAACAAGAAAGCAGATCGCAAGTGAATTAAAAGAGCCAAAGAAGACGAGAGGGATTTTGTTCCTGAAATCTTCGCCCACTCAGTACGTCATCTCGATCGAACTTTAAACCAGCTGCCTTCTCTCTGTCTCGTTTCTTTATTAATTTTATATTTATTTCCTTTTTTTTTCTTTTTTTCTTTTTTTGATCTATTATTACAAGATCGATTGGATTCCATTGTGCTCTAAACGGCTCGGCTTAACAAGCTAATTTTTTTTTTAAGGATAAATTATAGGTTGCGCCTATTAAAATATAATATTATATTTTTTTTCCTAAACTTATAATTCTAACTTCAATTTTCTATAAATGTTTAAAAAAAATTAAATATAGGATAAAAAGTCAATATATTTAAATATTATTTTTTAAAATTAAATTATGTAAATATCTTAATTACCATCATATTATTTTAAGTCATGATTATGACTATTTTTTATTTAATATTTTAATGAATTTAAAATATTTATAAAAGATTTATTTTTTAAACAAATTGACAAAAATTAAGTTATTTCTTATAATTTAGCTTGATGTTGGACGACGTGGTAAGTGTTTATTGAATCTGAGGGGTAAATTTTTTGTACTCAGTTGACTTTTTATAGGGTAGCCAATGAGCTAGTTACACGTGGAGGATTTTACTGTTGCTGACGTGGCGAGTGTTTACTCGGCTTTTTTAGGGAAGCCAATGAACTGGTTACACGTGGAGGATTTAGTTGAACTGTTGCTGTCAAGGTGGAAAATTAAGGAACTATTTTATTTTTGGAAGAAATGGAAAATATATTATATTGGTTTTAACCGTTAACCGGCTGCACAGAGAGAGACCGGGAATTGTCGGTAGCTTAAGGCTTCTGTGGCTGTCGGTGGACTCGATTATTGCAAGCTGTGAGCTGCATAATGACCACTTCAGCCGGCTTCTCTTGATATTTACGGCTCCGCCCATGTGATTTTTTAAAATTTAATTGATATGTTTTTAATTTAATCTCTATTTTGAAAAAAAATTATAGAGTTTTTTATATATTAATTTAATTTAGTTTTCTCATCGTTATTCAAGGTAAAAAGATTCGTTAATGATAAACTTATGTGACAAAATTTTTAGTATATCGAGAAAAATTTAGTGATGAAAAAAAATGTCAACTAAAAATATTTAATATTTGTACCTAATTTTTAATAAACTTAAAAGAAAAATTATAAAATTTTTATTTACTTAATATTTGTCAATTTTTAATTTAAACGATTTGTTTTCTTTAGTGTTTATATTTTGCCCCATTAAAATACATTAAAACACAATTTTCGCCTTAATATTTTTTAACCAATCTTAAAATTAGTTCTTAAGAGTTAATTTTTTTAAAGAAAATAGTTAAATAATAATAATAATAATAATTTATATGCAATCGAAGACCGTAAATAAATATATTTACTGGAACAACTAACCTACACCAGATATTTTAACAAATTTAACTCTGTAAATTCTTAAGATTTATTAAAAAGATGCAATTATAATCATGCATTTCATTTCTTATTCAACTCTCTCATTCCCAACCATTAGAGATTTTTCTCTAAAGAAGGAATTATTTAGGAGGGCCGACAATCGAGATAATGATACGAGGAGAGAACCCTTAATATTAAGCACAATTCATCGGATTAAAATATTAAAATTTTAATCAAAAGATTAGAGGTCTGAATCCAAATTTCATTGTATCATTCGAAAAATAGAAAATAAAACAAGAGAACATGTCTTCGCTGTGTGGGAAAGAAAAGGATTGTTAACTTCACTTGTTATGCACATACAAACATGGCAAAACTACAAATCAACCCACGTTTATAATCGAAACAAAGCTAATGTTCGAGTATTCGAAACACAAGAAATCGCTCACCTCTTGATCCATAATCAGCTTTGTAGTGTCCTATAGTACAGAGACCAATTAGCTACCTGTTGAGCCGCAACAAAAGTAAACTCACTCTAAAATGATGTCAGAACAAATACAACTAAATGTATAATAAAAAGTGAAAACTGGCATGGCCATGTGGTACAAACGGCTCAGCCTAGTAAGACTCTAAGAACTAATTCTGAACCTATTTTGCAATTACAGGTCCATCTAATGGCAACTTTTGTGGCTGCTACTACCATGATAAATCTGTCCCTTTTTTGAGAACAAACAAAATGATGCAACTGGTCTAAGGCTAGTTCTTAAACTTACCTGATGTTTTCGTTGTTCTCAATGTCGGTGAGAGTGCTTTCGACCGCCGAAATGGGGCTCTCCCTTCTCCCTGGTTCTACTTTGTAAAACTCTCGAGGTAAACGAAATGGCTCCGATCGTGGCCATGGCGTAAAAGGCTTTATATGGAGCCAAAGCCAGGCTACACATATAGGTATAATATCCAGCAACTAGATAGATGATGTCTAGTCTGATTTCGATCCGTGACTGACCAAAGAGAGAGAATAAATAGGAATTGAACTCGGGTTTTGAATTACAGACACCGTGGAGGATAACTCCAGTGCAAAGAAAAGAATCCAGCAACCATGGAAAGCTATGATTTGTCCCTATTCTCTGCAACCCCAAAGAATAGGCAATGTGAGAATCGAAGCTATTTTTCTTTCTCCATGTATGATATTCAAATGGACAAGTATTAGTTTTCTTTTTCTAAACGATGTCAAATACGAAACGTGACATGCTAAACATTTTAGACGAAAGCAATGTATTATGAAACAGATTCGGGCAACCATTCTGTTTTCATAATCATACCTGTAACCAAGCGAGCAGTGAAGGTGCAAACATAATTGCTGCGAGAAGATGCAAGATCAATAAGCCATGACAATGATGAAATATCTCCAATTGTGTTTCCCCAAAACTTTTTGAAGAGCAAGGACTGGTGGAAAGGTCTTCAATCAACTCCTTCAAGTTCGATTTGTCGGGCAATGGAAGTTTAAATTGTTGAGAATCATTTCCACCTTGTAATTTTTGGCTTCGCACATGGCTGTGAAAGGAAGCTGTCAAAGAACTAATACAAAAACATGGAATAATACTTTGATCTTCTTTAAAATCGTAAGTATTTTAAGGAAAGACTCTTTTCAGACCGGCTGCCAGAACTTAAGATCTTATAGGTTTAGCAGAGCCTACATTTCAAACCCATTTTGTCTGGCATTGTTTGCCATTACCTTATCACTTATGAGCGTGTCCAAAGATTCAATTATCAGATAAGTACATGCTAGCAAAGCTTCTATTCAACTACACGCTCTTAACCACTAAGCCTACTTTGTATTTCAACTTGTAACACACGTGAGTTGTGTGTATCATACGAGATTAACAACCTTATCTTAGTCTCGGATGCCCAATTACTTTTTAATTTGTTAAAAGAAAAACAAAACTTTCGAGAGTCCTAGTTTTCAACATATGATTTTTGGTGGAATCTTGACATTTGTATTTGAAATTCATTTCAGGTTTTATAAAACATAACATTTCTTAGAAATCCCTTTAGGTTTCCCCACAAGAAGACAAAAATAATTATGACAAGGGTATACTTAAAAGTACCTGGATAGCGCATTGTGGCAACAGAAAGCATGGAAAGCGAGTAGCAAAAACAATCCCATTGCTGGATGAATAAAACATGCCAAGGTAATAGCAGAAAGAGCAGTAGCCAGTAACGGATCGACCAATACCCTTACAACCTAAAATGAGTGAGTTAGATGATAGATCAAATTGGAAATCAACAACTCATAACCTTCCACTACAAAACAGATGTAAGTTAAGTTAATGGACAATAAGGGACAACAAATTCTATGCTACTCAGAATTAGATTCTCCTGTTAAATATGAAAAGCATAAATTTGAAAACAGATCATTTTTCGAATCGTATGGTAGACCAAGTCATGGATCGCAAAGTTTCTTAAGGCAACAGATCTAGGATGCACTTGGGACACATGTTAGGATAGTCAAGGTTCATAGCATCAAACAAGCATAGTACTGCTCAATGAGAAATTTTAAAAGCCTAAAATGATTGTTAAGTTTATTTTTAGTTCACAACAATACGTCTAAAGGTAAAAGCACATTATAGTTATTGGACAACTTGAGCGAAGCACACAGCACATCATGACTTGAAATAAAGATGACAAAAGAAATCGAACCATTTCTGGCCTGTCTAGCGAGATTTTAGTTCTAGTGTACTCTGAAATGTAAATGGTTGACTGCATTTATTATCATAGATAAAATCAAACCTTTGATAATTAAAAATGTGAAAAAAATTTCTAAAACAACTAACCGCTAAAAAGCCGACATTTCTTTCCCACAATTGCCACCTGCAACATGTCAGTAAATCATTTAGGTATATACTCGCTAGGAAGATAACCAAATAATTTAGGTTGAATCAAACTTATTCTTCGAACAAGAACAGCACAAATAAAATATCTAGGAAAAAAGAAAAAAACTTGAAGTAGAAGAAATTTTTTTAAATTGCAAAAACAAAATGCTTTTTCGAGGAGAAATTGCAAATGTAAAATCATACTTGGAATTCCAGTAAACAAATAAACGGCATTCATAACCTCGGAAAAATAACTTGACTACTATTGTCAAATATGAAGGCATACACCCATGATCGAGACCACAATAAATAATGCATTATGCAGGTCATGATCTCTGATTATTTAGTACCAATAGTTGTTTAATACACGGACATTCCATTAGCCCCCCCCCCNCCCCCCCCCCCCCCCCTTTAATGTAGTTTGGTTGAGAAGTTTCTTCCGTCAGAAAATGCTCAACATATCATCTATTCAATTAGATTCCAGTTCTGTGAATTGTACAATGGAGTAATAAACTGACCTTGTCTTGATGAAAACATGCACAACCGCCATCACATAGAATATCAGCTGGGATACCAAAACCACAGTAATGACAGCAGCATTTGCTAACAAATAACAGATCACTGAGACTGTGGTGAAGATGGGCAGAGGAGGTAGTGGTTGAGAAGTTACAAGTGAAAGGAACAAAGATAGTAAAACGGGTACAAAGACCAAATAAAATAATGGGAATGGTATTCTCAAGTTGGATTCTATAGATGTCAGCATTGAAGGTACAGGAAAATCTTGATTCCATGCTTGCGCTTGTCGCATCAATGCAAAAAAAGTAACAACAATACATAAACCAACTATCTGCACGAAAACAATGCACAATGTAAGCTTTTTTAAAATACTTGGAATACATGAGATAACAGCTGAAAATCAAGATTGGCACTCAGTTGTTATTTTTTTTAAATAAACATTAATATTTAATTTTCAAGCCGCTGAAATAAGAGTGGCGTTCAACAGGTAGCAAGTAGCAAAAGATTTGACGAGTCACCACAAAAGCATGTCAGATAGAAAAAAGGAGGGGAAAAACAAATAAATAGTTATGGGATTCAAGAAGTTTAATGATATCTTAGCTAACTTATTACTAATGAATGGAGCAAATGGGAGGGAAACGCATTCAACCGTTGTCTTCCATCTAATACTGTAGAAGTTAAAACTCAAATAAAGAGTCTCAATGGGTTTTCCTAAACAAAATAAAATTCAAATTCAAAAATAAAAATTTTGGGTTTCAATGGCCACCAGTGTAAAATCATGATGAATATATATCCCTAAAATCATCAATGATCTTAATGGCTAAGTGAATTGTATTTGTAACCAAATGTTTAGGGAAAAGGTTCAATTTCTTTGTTTTTTTTGGAGTACGGGATATGGTTCAATGTTAAATCTGCTTTAGTGTAGTAATAAATTGAATATATAACAGCATGATGAATGAATCAACAATCTTAACTTCCCGCAATTACACATTTAACAACTCTGAATATCATAATTAGATTTATCAAAAGATTTCATTTCTTTGAGAATGAACTGCTGATTTGAACAGTTAAAACCTTCAGAACACAAGCATAAAATGTTCCAATCAATTTTTGCCATAGTTACCTCACGAGAGTGTAACAATTACAACCTCGTCCAAACTTTAACCAAACACAGATCCATTTGATTCACATAGTTCCAATATTTTTCACGAGTAAACATATAAATAAGAACTTGTCCAATGAAGGAGAGAAGGAAATATCCTAAACCACGAAGCATGAAGCATAAAAACAAACAAATAAATGCAGGACTTTTCTTTCACCGGGGAATTATGTAAAACATTTAGTTGGCTCTAGAAATAAGCAAGTATATTTTAAGACACTAATAACTTGTTACCTGTGAATTATATAAAAGCAAAAATCTGCCAGCAGCTGCACTGAGAGAGACAATAACGCTTGGTTTATATGAACAGTGAGGATCTACCTGTAGAGATGAAAAGAGTTAACGAGATCAAAATTCCAGGTTATTATTACGTAAGGACGGATAAAAGAAGAATTGAGGAAAATAATTCATACCAACAATAGAACGGTTGTTTTCTCAGATCCTGCACTAGAACTCCAGAGTGCTGGTGAGGAATCAACAAGAATTGTTTCAGTCTGAAGATTCGGGAAAATGTGAAGCCCAGATATATCATCCCAAGCAAGTGCTACTGGTGGAAAACAACGCAATCTACACAGTCCTGGATTATCAAGAAAGTAAAATAGGGTGGATGAATAACTACATGAAAATGTCATTTAAGCTCCATCCCAACTCTCAACAACCGAGAGTTTCTTTAAGTCCATGACGGATTCGAAAAGCACATAAAAATAGTTAGTACTTAGTAGATAAACCAAATGACTCAGAACCTTTAAACATGTTATGCCTTCACTTTATAGCATAATAAAACAAAAGTTCTCAGTAAACTAGAATGGTTCTGATAGCATATTGCAATCTCTAGATATTAGATATTAGGTAACAATATAGATTATAATTAATGCTAGAATGGTTCTGATACCAAGTTGTAAGTGTAAATTATCTTGCTTACATTTATTTATTAATATAGCTATAACTAAAGCTAAGATTTACATGGATAATTAAGGTCATTCCTTCAACAATAACATTACTGCCAAAGTTTAAACACCCTAAACTTAGTTAGGAAACTTGTGCTCGTCAATGATCACTAATGATGTGAATATGAAGTGTATACCGATGATATTTAGACTATTAACACGGAAATTGAGGATTAATAAGAGAACTTTCACATGAATGCCAGTTTCCTCTACTCATTTTCTTTTCATAATAGGGAAACTTTTTTTTTCTTTCAAATGGAATGTACAAGCCTAGAGCATACAAAATCCAAATGAGTGATAAAACCTCCTCAAACCTCGGTACAAGACCTCTAATTACAAAAAGTTCTAGAGACCAATGCCCACAAAGAAGCTTTAAACTTCACACAAAGAGGCTTTAAACTTCACCAACTCTCAAACCTCAGCACAAGACCTCTAAACTTCCCTGAAGATTCTATTACTTATCTCAAGCCAGACCCCCAAAAGATAGCAAGGAAACTAGCATGCCACAAAACTTTACCTTTATCACAAAAAGGCGAACCCAAGAGAACCTCGTCAATCATAGCAGAACAGTCCCTTTTCCAAACCAAACATAAGTTAAACGAATCAAAACAATGGCCCAGAGAAGGTGATGCAAATCCTCGCACTGACGGCTACAAAGAAAACACCAATGTGGGACAACACAAAAGAAGAATGTATCTGGACACGATCCATAATGCTGACTCTCCCATATAAAACCTGCCACACAACAAACTAACCTCCCTGGGAATTTTAACCTTCCAGAGAGAGGAGCAAGTAGAGGGGGGATGAGACGAGGTAAGGATCAAAAATGAAGAACAGAAAATCGGTTTCTTACCCCAGTAAGGATGAGTCCCTACCCCCACAAGGCACACACAGACCATAAAGAATAGAAACAAGTCTCGCAACATCTAAGGCCTCTCTATCAGAAAGATGACACATAAAATTCTAAAGAAGATTAAATGTTTGCTTGCTCAGTAGCACATTGGAAGATTAAGTTAACATTTGCATTCAGTTGAGCGTTTCTACATGTATTCATCCCATGCAGTCTCCAGAAACCCAAGAATGTGCCAGCAACATATGCCCTCTCTTCTTATGTTGCTCTCAACTTTCGTTCAGGGTCGGGGTTCTCCAAGGTTATTTGGAAGCTCAAATTCCTGAGACGTGGAAACAGGTGGGGAGGGAAATTCTCTTCGAACCATCAAAGACTTTTACACTTCATGAATGGCTCAAACTGCATCCAGTAAAAGACTAAACTTTGTTATAAAAAAACTGGACTGAATTTGCAGGTGGCCTAAAGAGGGTAGGAGGGTTTGGAAGAGGAAAAAGAAGCCTAACAAATCCAAATGCTATAAACTTTTAGGTTACCTTTATCATCAGAGAAAACTCCATCTTATTATTTATCCCACTTGAATATTCATCAAAGTCCCCACAGGCAAGGAAAAGGAAGAATAAGAAGTTGCACTATATAACTTATTGTAATAAGAAAATGAAGGAAGAAATCCACGTTGAGAATATAAATTTATCTATCGCAAGTTACATTATAGATAGCAAAGATACATAAAAAGAATATTACATAATATATATAAGAAAGCATTGAACTTACTATTGTTTTCAATACCACCAACTTCGTCATCTGGAAGTCCAGAATTCTTAATCCCACAGCCTGTGGTTTCAAGTTGCAAGGTAACTGGAAGAAGTCCTAAGCTAATGGGGAATGATAAGTTCAGCACCAGAGAATGATTCTCCTTCATAAATATGTCCTACACAACAATTAATTTTAAAATAGTCCAGTCATCAAGTTGATACTGAGACACTAAAGCGAAAATTTTGGAGCACTTAAATAAAGCATCTTCATGAGGTATTTACATCATTATAGTAATTGGAAAGAAGCATTGACCAAGGTGAGATTTCCACCATCCCTGCATCAGGATTAAAGAATTGCCCAACTGCCATGGAAATTGCAGGTGGAGGTCTGCCTGAAACAGTCTGAACATCAAATGGTTACAACACATGCGAACTAATTCTTACATATTGCTAATTTTTCTTTTTAAATAACTAACTTTATAAAAAAGAAAAGTAGAATGCACACGCTATAAAATTATTCAAAGAAGAAACCAACTTTTAAGATTGTAATCATTGAACCTAAATCTATAAGAAAGTTAAGAGAAATCAAGCAAAAAAAAAACACTTCAGAAACTTTTTGTATCAGAGAAGGAAAATCTCAATGGCTATTCTTTTTATGGAAGTAGAAAAGAAAAATCTAAATGACAATGAGTGAAGATCAATACCGGTCGAGGCGCAACTGAAATTGTAAGAAATTTGAAGCCATGCATGTCCTCAGGTCCCAACATAAGTACAGCAGAAGGAGGCGCTTGCTCAGTCTGACTTCCAGGTTCAATCTAATGAGCATAGCACAGATCAGTGGAAGAGTAAAATCCTAAACCTTCATATGTCTGGTCCACGAGCAGAAAGATGTCACAGAAAGAGAAGGATCCACGTTATAAATAAAACTAGTACCTGTCTCGGTGCTGGTCCTGAAGGAATTTGCACCATCTTTGAGGTCACTTCAAAAACCCTTTCACTTAAAGATAAGCCAGCAGACTTCCCCTTTTCGGGCCAAAGATGAAGCCTGACCCCAGAACATGGTAACAGGTTCGTTACAAATATAAAGTGACTTTTTCCGTTTGACCCCTACAGAGAACAAAAAAATTAGAATCTGAGCCCAGGAAATAATGTAAAAGGAAGAAATAAATACCGTCAAACTAATGGGAGGAAAGATTACCATAACAGTGTCAACAAAGTTAACGAAGTTAGTTAAACAACATCCCAATGCTTCATCTTGTATGGGTTTCATAACTAATACAATACCTTATGGGACTGACCTTATATCAAGAAATACATTAGATCATGCAATAAATGAAATAATTAACACATCGAGTCCAAATTCTCAAGATTGCAGTTATAATTATTACTGAAGCTAACCAGTTTCTCCAAGTCCAACCACCGCCTGCGACCATCCATGGCTAGAACAGAGACAGTACTCGTTTGAATATATAGGTCCCTCTCTAGCCCATCATCATTCCAATGAATGTTTTTGGGACAAGCATACGGAGATAGAACTGCAGATCCTGCAATATACCATTATGGCTATAATTCTTCTAAATACAGAGGTTGAATTACACAACTTTTTTCGTATATGGACACTTCAAAGAAAAGCTAATGAGTTTAATTCAAAATTGATCCTGCTTCTGTCTTCTAATTTATCAACACGGACCCTATGCAAGTGAACAAAGAGTTAACATAGAAAAGACCAAGAAAAAACCTCTTGCATGCAAAAAAATATATATATATAGAGAATGCTCAGCTGGTAAAATTCATGAAAATAAAGGAAACTGATCTTGTTTTCTTTTTCCCAACCACTATATTGATAAATGCAATAACTAACAATTTGGTCCATCCATCGGAATAGTGTTTTTTCTTTTTTTGGGATAGGAAACAGAAAATAACGTAATAAGAGAGAATAACTAATAACTTCAATGTGCATACACAAAAACAACTAACAACTTCAATGTGCATACACAAAAACAATATAACAAACTACCAGACGCATTTTCCACTTTTTTAGCAGGAAAGTGGGCAAATTGTTGAGAATTGTGTGATTGGGTCCTCCAATTGAAACTCTGTGGTATTCCACTATGCAGCATTCTTGTCAATATAGAGAGTCTTTTTCGAGGGGCCAAATACGGTTGGCCTGTAGTGGAGTCCACCAAACTAAGAAGGCTGTGTGACACCTAGACAAGAAAGAAAATTTTCAAAACAATCTAAGGACAGCTTATTCTTTCAAACTTGAAGAGAATTATACCTGTACAACTAATTGATTACACCACAAAATTGCCAGATGTTCCATTGATAACCACACATTTTTAACACCTGTACTGCTGATCATAAAGCCATGTGTAGGAGGAACAATCCCATCCAAGGATTCTAATTTTGACCTTACCTATAGACAAGGATAGAACTATCAACAGGAAAATAATAAATGAACCAGAAAGATAATACCCTTTACACAAACCTTGAAAAATATTTTTTTTTTAGGTAAGAAACTGCACTTTCATCGAGAATAATGAAAGAATACAAGGACATACAAAAACAAGCCCCAACAAAAATGGGAACCTTGATAAAGATTTTCAATTATTCAGACTGGCATAAAAAGACAGGTCCTTATAACTTACAAAACAATTTTGCAAACATGCACAAGAAGAGTTCTAAGAAATTAATTAAATCCCAAAAATCCATCCATCCTCTAAAATTACATCCTCCCCAACCAAAAGATTACTTCAATGTCAGGTTTTTTTTTCTTATTTTCTTTTTAGAAAGAACTATATGAATAATTGCAAAAAGAACTTGAAGTGACACATCACAAAGATGCGTGACTTTTGGCTAGATCTACCCATGTCCTTTCATTTCACTCCATAAAAATTTCTGCAAGGATTTTTATTTCTTTAGTATGACATGAAGCGATACCAAAGTGAGTGAGGGTGAGGGAATGTTGAATGGGATGCATGTTCATTGTGGAATGATGAGCAATCCTAAGGTGGGGGAAGAAATAGAGATTCTCAAGTTTGAATAATTGAAACATAAACTACATAAAATTTGACAAAAATGAATCAACCAAAGGAATTTATTTTGGCATTTATTGGTCGCAGATTCTTTTCAACCACTAAATATATCAAGGCCACAGGCCTTCATCAGAGTCGAAAGTTAGATGATACAAACATACAGTCGATGTATTCAAGCCAACTATGCATATGAGAAAACTATTATCCTTTCAATAGAACCTAAAAGGTCAAATTCTACTTTAATCAAGAAAAAGGTCCCACGTTGCACTAATTGGCAAAGAAGAAATACTGCAAATGTACCTGGTAATCATGATAACCCCCAGAAATTGAAACTACCACAACATGTGAAAGTAGAGGATCAGATGCAAAATATCCACTTCGAGTAATTTGAACCTCATAGCCCTTCCTCCATTCCTCATTTACACGAGTGAAGTACCGACCCAAAGATGGCTGCAGGGCTAGAGGAGGAGATCTGTAACATGTAAGACGAGATGAAGCACGAAATTAACAAACCAAAAATGTTCTCAGTATCATGAAACTCACTGGTGAGGGCTAGAAAGTGTAAGAACTGTTTCAACGGCTGATTTTCTAAGTCCAGGATGCACGACTGCAGCTCTAGCAACAAACCCACCAATAGAATGGCCAACCAATATCACACTTCTAGGCAAACTTCCAGAGTCAGCAGCACCTTCTTTTGCTCGGGCATTAAAAGATTCTTTATATTGATCTAATATCTGCACAAACAAGTTAAATTGATAATCAAGTGGAGAAATTTAATAAAAGTTCTTTGGAGGACAAACCCACACCATGAAACCATTACATTCAAAACGTAGAAATAGACTGGAAAAAAGAAAATGATTTGCATTATTCTTGCACGAAGAAAGAGATCGGAATGGGAAAATATCAGGAAACTAAATTAAAAAATAAAGAAATATTATGGCTTCTTTTTACATTGGATCCTGTAGAGATGTTAATACGTTCTATTTGGGACTATCAGCCACTTCTTACATTATTCCAAAAGTTCCATTACCCTTTTCCAATTAAAATTCTGAAATGGATAGAGAAGCCTGGAAAAAAAAAACAATATTCCTTCCTTCCATATCACAGATCCATCTTCCCCCCCCCCCCCCCCCNTCCCCCCCCCCCCCACCACTTTGGTGGAAAAGTGGAAAATAAAATATCTTGAAAATGATGTAATTTATAAGACAACTAGATTACAAAAATTTGAGAGCAATACCCTGTGGATGGCGTGTACTACATATTCTGCATGTTCTTCAAGTATCCCTCCATCCATTGCAGAATGTTCACCTTCAAGATCCACTACAAACCAATCCAGCCTACGCGTGTAGTGGTCTGGCAACTGAAGGCCAGCCAAACTAGTGCCTGCCTCACCCTCCACCCTATCTATGTTAGCCTCCTGATAAAAACTCTGCTCGAGAGGGCCTCCTTGATAAGCCCTATCGGATTCTGCCGCCAAGGATCGCACCTGTAATCAGGAAATTTTACAAAAAAAGCATAACTACTATTTACAGATTAGAAAGTAAAATTTACAATTAGTTTCAGACTTTCAACAAAAAAACATAAGGGAACATGTGGTAAGGGAATCTATATTATATGAAGCAGAAACAGGAAAGGAAGAAGAAGACCTTGCCTGCTTGTAGCTACCTCCATTTCCTGGAATGAAAAGGACTGGAACACCATTAAGTTTCTTAAGATGCTCCTTGAAATCAATCTTTTTCCATCCTTCGTGATACAAATGCAACCCATATTTTTCTGATGATAAGCCCACCGGTGAAGAAATTGGAATATATGTTGGATACATGTACGTCATAATACAACCATTAGAAATTGGTTTTAGAATTCCATATATAGCAGCAAGGCTGATCCATACTGTCGCAACTATAAGAACAGCAATTCTGATTTTGGCTCTAAGGTCTTGCATCATTGGGTCAGACTACCAAGTCCTCGTTTAGCTCTCTCTACAAAGCTCCCATAAATATCGGTTTCAAATCCTACACAAAACACCACAATATCCATAATCCAACTCGAAATCCACCCTTTCCCGAACACGAAGCTCCCATAAATTCTCGCAAGGCACGCTACTTCTCTTCTAGATAAAATGCAAAAAGTATTCAATGTATTTTCTTGTTCAGAGGACATGAAAAATCAAAACCAGACACTTGGATTTAGATCCACTTCGGCATAAACATGGAGCATTAAGAGTAGTAGCAGTAGTACCAGAGTAAATGAACTCTCTATAGTTATTCAATCCGACGGAAAACCGCCACACAAAAACATCCAGAGAAACAGCAACACAAGCAATCAAATGACAACACGTCAACCATCAGATGCATTAGACTTGCAACTCTTCGAGACTAAACAACAAAAAAGGAAATCTACAAAAATGAACAAAATCAATTACGAACAACTCGTTGAGAATTCATAGAAAATCGTGCTAATTACACATTACGAACAAATCATCAAATAGAATCAAGATGAACTAAAATCATTAACCAAAAACTTAGGAAATTGATCTGGTGGAAACACGAGGATTGCAAACCGCAAGAGCATTAGAAGAAGCCAAAGGAGTTGAGAGAACGAAAGCTTACCCGATCCGTGAAAGCGCAAAGGAAATGGCGGGAGCAGAAGAGAGAACTAATCAGATCTCCGAATGAATCAGAGAGCTTTTCTTCTTCTTTTTTTCAATTATTCCCTTTTCGAAACCCAAAAAGAAAATGTGAAGAATTCTTTTAAAGAGAAGAGCTTATTATAAAAGGAAATATGGAATAATGGTAGCTCGACAAAGGGATTTGACCAAATTTTGACTCCTGAACGACCGTTGTGTTTGGAAATTCAGGTGTTCAACTGACGTGGCTAGTTTTTACTGGTTGGTGAAACTTCATTTGCGGGAATTTTATCACCGCCCTTGGATGCCCCGCCCTTGATTAGGATTTCATTGTCGGGGAAAATAAACAATTTTTTTTTTTTTCTGGAAGCATATTTAAATATTAGATTTTCAATTTAAATAATTTTTCAAAATGTATCTTATAGTATTTTTATATCTTACCAAACTAAATATTAGATTGAATATAAATTATTATTATTATTTTTTTTAGAAATTTTGTATAATTGCTATTTTATATGTATTATAGTACAATTAAATTGATTTTATAACCCAAAATACATTATTTATTGAAGAATATAATATTTTAATTTAATATTTCAAATTATAAATTTAAATATTAGGGAACAATAAAATAAAATGTGTTATTCTCTTCATTTTCGTCATTAACGTCATTAAGATAAAAAAAAATTAAAGAAAATAATTTTATAAATTACGAACCCATAACATGAGACACAACTTCTCGAAATAAAAGACAATCTCATCTAACTACCAAATTTGACCAACTTTATGTAGACTTGGCACGGGAGGTCAACCATTATAGGTTTCATTTATTTCAATTCAATCAAATAAGATATTTTAAGTGATGTCGAACTAAATTAATTACGTCACGTAAATTTATTAGATTAAACTAATTTATTGGATGGACTAGTGTCATTATTTTGACATTATTTTATTTTCTAGATTTTGTCATTTTAATTTATTTTGAAGACGTACAAATTACTAAAATAAGTATGAAAGCAAGATATAACACTAAGAATTATTACGTGTCATTTTATAAATTAATCCTCTCAAAAGCCCCTAATGTTATAATTTATTTCCACCATTTCTCGAAGGGAGATTGTGCAAAAAAAAAAAAAAAAAAAAAAAACAATATAGTGATACACTACACATGACTCATAGGTTTACCGAACATAGTTCAACTAGCATAAGCTCTATCAATTTGACAAGCAAATAAAAATTTTGGATCTTCGAACACACTACAAGAAGGCTGGAATGCCAACCGACGTCTATTATTGAATTTATCTGACTCAATAATACCCTATTTTTTGAACGTCCAGTGACTTTTCATTGAATGGATAAGTCACCAATCCCTAAAACGGACTGTGTAATGTACTTTATCTGTTGGGTTACGGGTGGACATTTTACTAGAGGTTTCTATTGAATCAATCTACCATTCGCCAAGATTTCATAATCCGCTATCGACCTTATTCCTTCCAATTCATTGGGCATTCCAATGAAATATTCCAATGAAATAAAAACAAAACTTGTATTGTGAAAATACACACTAAGTATGCACCAGTATGCACCTATCAAGCACGACTATAAAACGTATGTGACAATTGTAACGCTTAATTTATCTTTTTTTTATTTTTTATTCTCTTAGAGATGAAAATTAATATTTTTAAGGGATTGAAGGGGTTGCCCATCAAATCTTTAAATATCTGAAATAATAATAAAATTAGCTATCATTATTTATCTTAATCATCAATTCATATCACAAGTCATCTAAACTTTATTCATTCAATTGGTCAAGGAATGGATCATCAACATATATGTCAAATCTTCAAAATTTTCACTATCGATTATCGATTATTGAACTATAATTTAAATTTTAGACGACAAACATCCCTTCGACTTCCAACCTGATTAAGCAATTTATTGATTATAAAGTGGCATATATTCAAGTTGTAGTTATTAAAAAAATAAATAAATAAACGACTTACAATAATTAAACATTATCTCAATATCATCAAATATTCACGTCATAATCATAGGTCGTGTGAATATTCAAGTTGTGAACATCAAATATTCAAGTTGTGAATGACAAAAAGAATTTGAACTAATTTCTTTAGAGACACATTCGACTATTCATAAAAATATCAACAATTGAGGCAGTCACATCAAACAATTTATCAAAATGAAAGCGACCCATTTTTTCGTTCCTTACCCTTCGAGTCGACATTAATAATATGTACATACCATAACTTACATAGTCATACCAAGCTATACAGTCTGGTTTGCATTAGCAGTGTCCCCATCACTTCTCTTGTTGGTTGTTGTGTTCTTTAGTATCTGTATAGAGCAATTAGCTGATGTATTAATGGGTTCTTCGAAATTATTACAAAGTCAAAGATTATCCAGTACAATGATTCAGACAAAGACCGAAGATGTTCATACGTAAGTGCTGAACAGTGAGAATATGGTTCAATTTCATCACGCATATGAACAAATAGTTGAAATCAATCGATTAAACAACAAAGTTTGAGGCTTAGACAAATATAATACTACACCTACACCTCCTTTGTTGTTCGACACTTCAATCACTTTTTCAGTATCTCTTCGAGGCGACATGGCTAAGTTGATGTACTCTCCTCCCAATCACTTCTTGCTGTTCCCCGAAGGAGGGTAGACACGAGGCAGTGTGCCAGTAAGGACACTGGATTTAGGGGTGCTCCCATATTGATTGGAGGAAAGAAAGAGTGCCAGCGAGGATGCTGGCCCCGAAGGGGGTAGATTGTGATGTCCCACATTGGTTGGGGAAGAGAACAAACCACCATTTATAAGGGTGTTTAAAGCCTTGAGGGGAAGCCCGAAAGGGAAAGCCCAAAGAGGGCAATATCTACTAGCAATGGATCTAGGTCCTTACAGTTTAAGGTATACTCTACACCATGTTAGGAATCACGACTCTTCACAATGGTATGATATTGTCCAATTTGAACATAAGTTCTCATGACTTAGTTTTGGACTTCCCGAAAAGCCTCATACTAATGGAGATATATTCTTTACTTATAAACTCGTGATCATTCCCTAAATTAGTCAACGTGGACTCCCTACCGATCCTCAACAACTTGTTGGTACAAGATATTAATTAATGAATTAATGAATCTATAGCATCAAACAGTGGTTTATTTCCCATTCTTTCAAGATATGGAAAGTTCGAAATTCAAACATTTAAACAAAATGATCCATACGGTTAAGAATGGATAAGAGATTCCTAAACAATAAATCCTCAGCTGGTTAGAATGCTAAGGATCCATAATTAATAATGGTCACAAATAAGATACAAAAAACCAAGTGTTTCATGAGATGATGATCCAAAATAGTTGTAAAAACCAGCTATTACCATCGTTAAATTCTCCACCGTATTTATTGAACAATAAAATAATTAAGAGGCAAAACTAAATGTCTATCTACTCTAAATGTAAATATTCTCTTTCCCTCATTGCACAAATAATTCTCTGTTGTGCCATGGCCCCTACAAACCTACCAAAATAAATTACCCAAATAATGCAAACCTACCAAAATAAATTACCCATATAACTATACCACGAACAGATACTATTTGGGGTTCCGATGACGGCAAACGCCTATCTAATAGTGTTAGGTGCTTACCGACCCCATCTAAGAATGGATCCAAAAATCTCGATGGAACTTGACTGAGAAGGAAAAGGATAAAAGATTCTACTCTTTATAGTTGAGAATTAAGAAAATTAAATGAATAATAAATGGAAATAGTTGAGAATTAAGAAAATTAAATTAATATTAAATGGAAAGAGCAATACATGCATATAATAAAATGTCCCTGTAATAAAAGATTAAATATGATAACTATCCTTAACAATAGTCATGTTTTTTTCGTTCAACAATATCTATTGCTTAAGTCCATCGACATTATACTATATCTTGGTACATTTGATCTCCTCATGTTGTATTAAATCAATTGATCAGAAATACACAATTTATAATCAGTAAAGGTGTAATAGATTATGATGTTCAAGCAAGTTTAATTGATACTTGAATTTAAAAATGTCTACCTCTATGAGTATTGAATTTTATGTTTTGTTTCAACAAAAGGAATATTGAAAGATGAGTAATAGACTAGCAAATTCTAAGAAAAGATCCAAAATATAATGGAAGAAAATCAATACTTCCAGATAAAACAGTGATGAATTTGATCAAACCTATTGGCAATTCAATGATGTAACCAACCAGAAATAAATGAATATGAAAATGAGAAACGATAACCATAAATATGTGAAAGGAAAGGAAACGTAATTAACATGCAATGTTTAAAAACAAGAAAATGGAAGCGAGGGGGGTTGGTTGACGTACGTGTCTAAGCATCTGATTCTCATTTTGTAACGTGGACAGATTCTCTTCAAGCTCGGAGTTCCTTTTCAACAAGTTTGCTGCTCGTATTTCCAAGTCGCCCAAATACGCCTTTTTCCTCTCCCTTGCTTGCTGTGCTGAAACTCTGTTTCTTAACAATCTTTACGAGAGAGAGAGAGATAAAGTGTGTCACAAAAATGAGATGCTGCAATCCCTCCACATACGATACGAGTGAAGAAATTGGCAGTAATACGCTACTTTGGTCCCCATTCTAGACCTAGAAACCTTACCTCTTAAGCCTTTTACTTTCTTTGTCAGCGGAGCTTCGTCCTCTGCTCCTTACGCCATCTGATGCAGGGGCTTTACCAGATGCTGAAGTGCCGCCGGCAGCAGAGGCAGAGTTGCCGCAGATCTGCGGCACTCTGCTTATCTCCTCCTCATCACTTCCCACTCCTATATCTTCGGTAAAGAAACAAATCATAACGTAATTCTCCCTCAAAGAAACAAAAACAGGATGCGATTCCTGGAAATTAAGATTAATTAATTATATACGGTCCTACATCAACAAAATTTCAAAAGCTTGAATCAACAAGGAGAAACTATCAAACTGGTACGAATTCAGGTTAGAATAATTTATTTCATTCCGAAACAGATTCACTGGCAATTTTACCGTACAAATAGGCCAGGAAAACAAACGATGATCAAATAAAATCATTCACAGCCAAGCCAGGTGACTGATTTCTCAAAACAAACTCGTCTCCATCAACCAAAAGAACAAAACAAAACTACAGAAGACGTCCAATAGCACTTCACGTACAATCTTTCCACGAGAAATCGTAAAGACAAAACAAGGAACTAAAATCAAACCTTCTTTAACATCAAGTAGAAACGCGGAACTCGACGATCTTTCGCTGCTCGATCGCGTACGACCGGCGGAGGCGGCGGCGGTGGTTCGTTCCTGCATTGCGCCGGCGAAATCAACACCGTAAGAAGTTGATGTGCATGAGTGAAGAGGGGACAATGACGTTGCTTAAAAAGAAAAGGAAAACTAGAAAAGAGCGGGATACGTTCGATAACAGTGCCTTCATAGGACAGCAAGTTGCTTTGGGTTGAATCCGGCCGTTGATTTTGTCTTAAATCCGACGGTAACTAAAGAATCAACGTGGAGGGAGATGAGCTTTACAAAGTGAGATCAATCAAAGGTTGTAAAAGAGGAAGCGTGGAGGATGTTGGAGCCGTGAGATTTGATACAATTTTGAGATATGCAGATCCGTATACGTCAGCATCAAAAAATGCTGGTTAAAATTTCGTTACAGCTAAATTTCATTTATAAATTACAGTAATTATAATATTTTAAATTACGGTAATTAAATCAGCTTTACAAACTTGTTTTTAATTATTAAAAAATTATTGGAGATAACAAGGTTAAATTTCTAAGGTTGAAATTATGTAAAATGTTATATAAGGTTGAAATCAGCTTTACAAACTTGTTTTTAATTAACTTGTTTTTCTGGTATTTCTTGTTCTCTCCCCTCGAATAAGGGAGGCTAATGAAGCTCTCGAATAGCTTCTCCTTAATTGAGGTTCGACTCTTTTCACTGATATGGCTAAGTTTAGGACATGGCTCTAATGGGTTATAGAGCTCTCGGTTTAGGGCATGACTTTAATGGGGTTTATAGAGCTCCCGAATAGCCTTCTCTTAATTGAAGCTCGACTCCTTTCTCTGACATGGCTAAGTTTAGGGCATGGCTCTAATATCATGTTATGAATTACGATTCTCCACAATGGTATAATATTATCCACTTTGAGCATAAGCCCTCGTGACTAGAGCACTTGTGACTTTGCTCTGGACTTCCCCAAAATGTCTCATTCCAATAGTATTACTCACTTCTAAACCCATGATCTTCTACTAAATTAACCAATATGGGAGATTATATTCTCGTCCCCACCCTGCTTAATATATATATATATATATTTTTCATATTAAAAAATAAAATAGTTAATTTTGAAGCTCTAATTTTAATATTAAAATAAAGACGGTCATAGATTTTTTAATTCTTAAAAGACTACAGTGTAATATTAAAATTTAAATTTTAAAAAATTATATCGATAGAACACACACACACACACATATATATATATATATATATATAGATTTATTTGCCTACGAAATATATTAATTCATTAGATTTTTTTACAAAGATTATATTAAAAAATGAAAACTTTAAAATAATTATTTTTCAAAAAATAATAAATGGAGAAAAATTACCAGTGAGAACTCGATTCTCCCAAAAATAAATAGAGAATTTCACGAGGATAGAGACGGGGAATGATTCCCTTATCTTTGCCCCGTGGACATCTCTACTTTCAATTTCAACTTCGGTTTTCATCTCAAAATTTGAATCTCAACAAAGTAAGTCACTCACTTAAAAAATGATCTCGTTATTGGGCACTCGTTAACAAATCGTTCTTTATTTATAAACTGATCTGATGCAATAAATAAACATTTCCTTTATAACTAAGCTGCCTATCCTCAGCTCCAACACAAAACAAATGGCCTTGCAACACCAAATCCCCCTTCATTCCAGCCGTTTCCCAAACAAATTTAAAAAGCCCCATAGCTCTATCAAGCTGCCTCACCCCATTCCAAACAACCCTCTCCTCATCACAGCTCAAGATCCTCCCCATGAACACCAAATACTTCTCCTCCTTCTCAACAGCCTTCAACAACCCACCACAAAGGTCCACTTCTACATCCCTAAAATGCCCAAAAAGATAGTAAAGTAAGAGAGTGAACAAGCACCTGGATGAGTGGCCCAGCGTCTTTGACAGCTTCTTCTGCACCAGGCTTTCTTGATGCTTTGCTTCCTTGAATCCAATGCTTTTATCGGTTAGCACGTCTCGGATCTGTGTAAGCCCCTCCTTCATCACCTCTAGCTTTGTCACATATTGATGCAAACCCTTTTCGTCTTTCAGCGTGCTGATTAGATCGGTGAACATCTCGAGCATGTCTTCCCATTTTGGAGATGTCGATGAATCGACATTGTGTTGCAATGGAGCTGGCCGCATCCATGAAGTGATGTGAGCATTTGAATTGGTGGCATCATTCAAGAAGTTTAGGCAACTTGAAACTATTTGCTGCCCCATTTTGATCCCTTTGTTGGGTGAGTGATGAGCCAGTGGATCCAGCTCCATTTTTAACTCTTTCAGCACATGATCCAATGCACCAGTCCAAATGTGATGTTGTGTAGCCTGTTGAAAAGAATAAATATAAAACATTCAAACATATAATCTATCTGTTTAACCTTTTACGTTAGTAGTGATTTATCTCAACCCCGATAAGTCAGAGAGACCACGTATCAAAAATTTATTGTGGATGTTACATGATTCAAACATATAATCCAAGTGTTTCTTAACAATCCCATATCGAGGTATTGTGGATGTTACATGAATTTTATTTTCTTTGAGTTCAACAGCATGGGAGGGTGGGGATTCGAATAATTGACCTATTAGTTGTGGACATATGCCTTAACCAATTGGGTTATGCTCGAGTGGACAGTTGTTCCATGAAATTAATCGAACTAACTAGTAAGCAAACACCAATGGACATCAGCTGTTCATGCATTTAGCTTTATAAATCAAATTAATACTCAAAGCTCACATATGAGGAAAATAAAAAGCATATATATATATATATACACACACAAAAGACTAAGTATTTCCTGTTTAAACAAACCTGTGGGCATATGGTGTGGCGCACAAGCTTCCTTTGTTGGGCAGACACGTTGAGGAAGTTGCTGACCTTGGTGAGTGAATCAACAACCATTGGCTCTCTTTCGCTTGAGTTTCTGAAACATGTCTGAGGCTGCCAATTTGTAGCAGTCGATGCAGCCATTTCCGTTACTCTCCTCTGAACCGACGGAGAACCAATGAAGACTCTTACAAGAGACTTAAAAATACGCATTCTCTGTTCAATTCGCTCGTCCAAAATGGTTGAATCGTCGTTAACATTAACAAGTCGCCCATCGATCAAATCCACATTCTTCAATGAGCAGCTCAATTTTTTTATCTTCGGAAATGCCTTCTCGTACCAATCGGCTGGCAGCCGCTCATGATCATCGAAGGAGTCCTCTGTGCAGTGATATAGCATCGGATTTGAATAAAACGCAGAGCGTCTCGTAATGTTGAGATGAATTACGCGACAGACGAACATCAACCTCTGAGAATGCTTATACGCCATAATCATGCCTCCAAAATCACTTCATGAAGTTAATCCCTTGAAAAATTCCGAGAAGTAGCTTCACATATTTTCGTTGGTTCAACATCGAACAGCGGAGTGGCTATGCCATAGCCTGAAACTTCAATGCGGCATTTCGTCGAACAGGTGGAGGGCATACAATACAGAAATGAAAACCGCCAATCCAGATAGTTGGAATCCTTGTCTAACCAGAATGAAATCGAAGATCAGCTTACCGGAACAAAGAGATTGAGAACATTAAAGCGAATCGACAAATTTCGGCCGTCGGGCAAAGATCACTCACCGCTTCTTAAACCGAAGAAAACCAATATTTTTTTGTGTTGGACTTCGACTTCGCGTTCTTCTGAGTCTGCTTTCGATTTACCACTGATTTTAAGCTTCTCACAAATCTCTCTTCCATATTCATAGATTCAATTGATTCAATTGGATTGAGATATTTTTAAAATGTTAGGTTATGTTTACATTTAAACAGTTCAAAATTATTTTTAAAAGCGGTTTGAAAATAAATAAAAATTAACATACATATCAACATTAAAAAAAACAAAAAAATTAAGTTGATAGAAATTTTCAATATTAATCAACTATATTATTTGAATTATGTTGATAAATTATATTAATAGCCCCTGATTTGTTTTTACCTATTATATATGTCTCACGATTTTAAAACACGTTTTTAGAAAAAAAAAATTATCGGAATCTATCATATACATATTCTATAACGACACAACAAGTTAATAATATATATGCGATACATATCCTTGAATGAATAATATTTGTCGATTAACGTTTACATATATATATACATACATATACACACACACATGCATCTATATATATATAGAAAGAATCACTAACAAAATCCCAAATCTAGATTGAGATCGTGGGTGGAGACTAATAGTTAAATTAACACCTCAGATGGCGAAAGAATCATCGTATGCCCCGATGATAGATTATTACGAGCCATACTTGGCATTCAGGTATCCACTTCAAAAGAAACCTGTCTAAAACTATCTATAGGTCGTAGGGTCATGAGATGGATCCAAAAAAAACAGGGGATTGATTCATATATACATGTGCACGGCGCGTGTTGCCACACATTAATTTGAAATCTGCGTAACTTCACCCACATACCTCAATTTGTGTATCTTCAACCCGATAATATTATTATATTATGGTAATCATTCAAATTTTCAAAATTTTCGAGATGAATGTTAATAGAAAATCATACAAAAAAAAAAAAATCAAATATAAACCGTCTCACATACTAGACTACATTTCAAACTTGTAATTAAAATGCATAGAGATCAAATCTATTACTAGAAAATAAACATAGTTCCATTGCAATAAACAAACACAAGAGACCATAACTAACTTCAATACCATGGCGAATACACTGAGTCGGCATTTGAATACATCTCCAAGTCATTATTCATGATCTTATTCATAAGTAGTGTAGCTCTTTCTCTGGCTTTTGTGGATCCTCTCACAGATAGATCTGCAACGACGCCTAAAAACTCCGGGAACCTCAATGCGTCTCTCAAACAACCTTCACTCTCGTCGAACAATTGCAAAAGGATCTCGGTTGCACCTTCTTTACTCAACATACACCTCCCTTTCAACACATTGACCATTGAATAAACGATCCGATCGATTTTTATCAAAGCCCTCAACCCCTCCTCGAATCTAGCCAAGAGACCGAGAACAACAAGAGCAGTGCCAGCGAGATCCTCTCCACTGGTACTCTCCACTACGTCGACAAGAACCGAGATGGCTCCTGATCGAACAGCCACCGTGCAGTTTCCATGAAACTGGCCTAGTTCAGCTAGAGAACAGAGAAGGTGATGAGCAGCAGGAACACTAGGGACAGTAAGTGCTCTAACCAACAACTGTATGGTACCAGCTACCCCAAACTTAGCCTTGTTCTTGTCTAGCATTGCAAGACTACAAATCAATGAGGACGCTAACTTGACGGTCTCGGGCGAGCCCAAGGATATGAGCGTATTGAGATGGTAAATGGTTTCCATTGATGCAAGAAGCTTTTTCATGTCATTATTCAGAGAAAGATTGAAGAGAATAGACAGTGAAAGGGATTGGACGGTGGAGGAAGAGGATTTGGAGAGAGCTATAAGAATTGGAATTGATCCATCTACTTGTGCAAGCAAGTTCCTGTAGAGGGGACTAACCTGGGTAATGACAACCAAGTCTTTAAGAGCCTTTTCCTGAACGTCATGAGCGTCCGACCGAGCATCGGCTACACACTGGGTTATATTCTTATGTGCAGTTGCAACACTCATCGACCTCATGGACGATGATGATTGGAAAGATGCAACTGACATGATGCTCAAACAATCTTCAGGGAAAAAGCATGGACAATACAAGCCTAGAGGTTGAGAATGATCACAATATCTTGGCTCTAATATCAATTAGCATCCCTTTTTTCTAGCTAGTGGCTGGATTTTGGAAACATCATTGCGATGATACCAAAGTATGGTAAGGAATGTTCTAATAATAAACATAAATGGAGATAGAAAATGATCCAATCATCCAAGAACCAAGCCGGAGGTATAAAGAAATGTACCTTGTAGAATGATCCGTCCAAGGAGCTGAAAACAAGAAAGTTTAGTCACACAGCATAGTTGATTACTCCCCCAAACAAAGTAATCTATCATAAATAAGAATTGCCCTGGTTAGTATTTTATTTATCCCCTTCCCTCTCTACTCGAACCAACGTTGTCAACCATTTTGGTTTTCCATTTTAGCTCTGATCATGAAGTACAACTCCTCTCGAGTTCTCGGACGTGCAACATATTCTGTGTTGAAAAGAAGATAATGGATCATAATCAGAATGTCCGACTTTAAAGGGCAAAACACGTGGAGCTCAGGGAGACATACCAACACAAAACTGCGAAGGAATGAAAGGAAAAGATGCAGTAGGCTGTAGCATTATTAAAGAAGGAGCAAAATGTAAACAGAGTCAGAGAGGGAACTCACCAAGAGGATGATGAAGAGGAAAGATTTTGTTCCTTCCTGAGGGATGCCATCTCCATCAACAGCTGAGTTCGCTTGGGAATCTGATGAAATTTGCAGGACAAAGCCACGTGTTTATGATGCAGCAAAAAATCGTCTCAGACCGAAAATTCCATGTCACCGAGATAACATGGACACAATGAATTCTTGATCCCACCATAAACTATAACGAAGAAATTTTACTAGCTTCCCGACGAATTGAAAACCCATATGTCTAAGTAAAGAATTGAAAATCCAAGTCAAGATTTTATGTAACAGCCTAAGCCCACCACTAGCAGAAATTGTCCGCTTTAGCCCGTTACATATCGCTGTCAGCCTCAGTAGCACTACGGTTAGGGAGAGGTTTCCATACCCTTACAAGGAATGTTTCATTCCCTCTCCAATCAATATGGGATCTCACACTTTATTTTACTATTAGCAGGAATATAGCTTGAACAATGGAACCAATGGTGATATAAAGAGGCCTAGTCGGAAAGGGGACAAGATCAACCCAGAAATAGCCAATACAAATTCCAATCGGGATGATAAAACAAGTTTCACACTTATTATATATCAATAATGACCTGAACAGATGAAGACTGAAACTTTCGTGATGAAATAAAAAAGTTGGAAACAAACAATTTATGGAGGTATGTTCCAATCCATCAACTTATGGAAGAAACTGTCTTAAATAAAAGACATCTACTCCATCCAAAAAGAAAATAAAAGCAAAAAAAAAACTTAAGGAATGGTGCGCTGGTAAAGAGGCAATGCTCCCAAAGCCTCGCGTTCTGCTCTCTCCTTCTTTACCTGCAAAACATAAACAGAGAAAAAATTAAAAAGGAACTATAGCTTCATTAACACTGCTTTCTGCTGTTCAGTAAATACCCATATCCACAAAAAAATCGATACTAAATTAGATTGTTTAACTTAGCTAAACGAAGTCATCAGAAGAAATTAGGAGGATTAAAATAGGTCAACGGCGAAGTACAAAGCAACAGTAGGATGTGGCACACACAATCCCCAAAGGTATTCTAGACTAAGAAATATTCCAAGAACTCTTAGGAGTTGTAGTACTCAAACGATCCAGCATATCGCATAGAAGCTCTCTCTACTGATACACAGCAAATGAAAGTCATGAATCTTAAACAATCTGGCAATCAAATAGAAGAAACGAAGCAGATTAATTTGCAGTGGTCATTAAATAATCAAGATTCATTCTGTCACAGTTTCCATCCTCGCTTTCCCTCCATCCTCTTCAGCTAATAAAAATTTAAAAATCCAAACTAATGAAACCTAAAATTCTAATGCCCGACAAATAATGTTCATTTGTAGATGAAGTAATTTCACCGCGTTGGGTTACAATAAGAACAGATTAAGAATTCTTATTCAACCACAAACAAAGTCCTACATAAGATATGTATTTGCTTCAAAATAAAACATATTACCCTAAAGTTGATATTTATCTAGAACATGAAATCTGAAATCATGAAGAACAACAGAGAACAGATCGAGAAGCCTCAAAGGGGAAATTAGATCACGGTAGAAGTACATCAAAAAAACAATTGAGCTGAAAGTAGATAAACAGACGCCATTTGAGCTAACAGATGGTAAATAATATCAAAATCAACAACTCCTAAATACAGTTCAATAGGATACAAACTCAAGAACTACAACCGACACTACGATATAGAGCAGCTGCCTTATTTCTATGAACAAAGCCAGACATTTATTCACTAAAAATGACAAAGCAGGTGATATGAAATAATAGGACTTACAAGTGCCAGAATTTCCTGGAGATAGCTCCTGAATGGTGTTTGCATGGCCTGCCAAAAAGTTACAAATATTCAAATGAATAGCCATCTAATCATCATTTGGCTTGCTGCACTTAGTTTGGGAAAACCAATTAATCAAATATCATTACGAGATAAATTCCTGTGACCATAAAGAAACATAACCATCGAGTTCAACAATGGATCCCAACTACTGAGAATAGTGCACGTTCAACAACTATATTAAGACCATGTAGAATTAAGCCAAAACACATAAACACAACTTTGTGATAACACTTCTTCCTTCCCCACTCGAAGTGAAACCACTTCATTGAACAAATCGTAGCATTTAGGTATTCAATAATGATAAACAACCAACACATTTCTGTTTTTCCACGAGGCTATTAACTGATCTAAAGGGGAAATAAACAACCATAGTAGAAGAGAACCTGTAGATTATCAGGAAGATACTGATGCTTCATGGAAAGGTCCATGGCCCGCTTCAGACGCTGATTGCGCGCATCCACAATCTCCCTAGGGAGTCGATTCAAAGCCTCCTTCACATCAATATCGTAGTACGGATCGTACAGATCGTCGTATCGAAGTCCTAAAAATATTAATACAAGCCAAAATCAATCGCCATAGAGAAAAATTCGAAATCAACGCTAAAAGAAAGATCAACGCGCAACAAACAATTAGGTTTCTGTTTTTTTTTTTTTACCATAATTACGGAGGCGCTGGGTGAGCGCTTTCATGTGTTGACGAGCGAACCAGTTCTTCTTTGGGTCAATGAGCGACTGCAGAAAAGAAGCCATTTCGATCTCTCTGCTTCTCCCTCCACAAAAATTCTCTCTGATTTTCTCAGTGCCCACTTCGGCTTCGCCTTTCTCCGGTTTTCTGGAAGAATCGCCTGGTCGAGCTGTTTCCCTTGTAAGATTTTGCGACGGCTCCCAATTTGAGCCTTACAATTGGGCCGGCCTGTTAAGTATAAGGCCCAATATATGGCCCAACATCTTTTTGGACCCAAATTCCTCAACTGAGCGACCATAGAGATATCCACTAGGCAAGAAAGCTTGCCGTTTACATATTTTAATTTTCATCTTGTAAATTCATTCATTTATTTTTAAGGTGAAGGGATTGCCCGGAGAGATTTTTTGTTTTATTTTTTAAATTTATTCTCAACCATAATAATATCACAATAAATAAAAAATTAAAAAAACCGTTAAAAATATATATAGAACTATAGGTCTCAACCAACATAATTTCTAAAAAATTAAAAATAAAAATTTAATGTTATAACAAAGTCTTTTTAACAAATTATAACTATCAACAATAATAATTAAGACTATCAACAATAATAATTAAGGCACCCTTCCCACTTTTTATGTTAAACAAGAATTCCTTGCCCGAATGCAAGTTTTAGTGACTTGAAAATTCCTTGCCCGAATCCATGCGAGTCTTAGTGGGTCACGTCACGCTAGTTAATATATAAATCTGATAGATATTAAAAAAATCATCGACCAAACAACATTTAGTTTTATTTTTTTAAAAAAGTTTAACCATGGTTATAACATAGGATTAAGCCATTAGTTTTTATGATGGTAATAGAACTTAGTTATGCTCACATTCACACATATTTAACTCTTCAAACCAAATAAAATATAGAAATGAAAAGGATTAAGAAAAAAAAAAGGACAAGCTTATAGAAACAAGGATGAATAGCATTACTTGAAGATGAATCTGCAAGGGAACATCGACACAGCTCATCCAAACCAAAATAACTAAGGGAATAAAGACATTAGCTTTTCTTTTGAAAGTTATGGACATCATCAGCTCTTAAGTAACCTGAAACTAGGCATCATCCACGAACAAAATCTTTAAAAATAAATATTAAAAAAAAAGTATTAGAAAAATGCTGACCGTCCTCTCAAATTAAACACTTGTACCTGCAGGCCCCGCTGCCCTTGAAACCAGTTCAGTTCCATGAATAAAGAACCCTCCAATTGCAAGGGGAATTATTCAATTATTATTATTAGCTTATAAGACTCATATTATCACACTTCATGACTCCCTTGTAAACGCCAATTCAGTAGCTAAGGCAATGTGATCGCTGCCCCATTTCTGCAAAACAGTCCAAAAAAAAAAAAAAAAAAAAAAAAAGCAAGAAGTTAAGCTTCAAAAAGTGGTAACGATTCTTTAAAGAAACTCAAAGTAACGAGCAGTATCTTCAAGACAAGTTCAGGTGTTGCCACAGGGCGGTGCACGTGCCACGTGCCATTCATCGACACTGGTAGGGGTGAGAGAATCCCTGAAGGGGGTAATGAAGGCATACAAAATGATTTAAGAGAGAATAATTTCTGTTGGATGAAAGTGTCCCACGTTGGTTAATTTAGGGAATGGTCATGGGTTTATAATCAAAGAATACACTCTCCATTAGTATGAGGCCTTTTGGGGAAGCCGAAAGCAAAGCCATGAGAGCTTATGCTCAAAGTGGACAATATCATACCGTTATAGAGAGTCGTGTTCGTCTAACATGATATCAGAGTCATGCCCTAAACTTAGTTGTGCCAATAGATTGGCAAATTCTCGATGACTAAGATTTCAAAGGAGTCGAGTCTCGATTAAGGGGAGGCGTACTTTGTTCGAGGGGAGGTGTTGGATGAAAGTGTCCCACATTGGTTAATTTAGGGAATGAACATGGGTTTATAATCAAAGAATACACTCTTCATTGGTATGAGGCCTTTTGGGGAAGTCCAAAGCAAAGTCATGAGAGCTTATGGTCAAAGTGGACAATATCATACCATTGTGGAGAGTCGTGTTCGTCTAACAATTTCATCTATGAAAATTTTTGGGGCATCGAACCACTGAAGAACCTATCCCTAATGGACTTTTCTCCATGTCCCAGCAATTTCTACCCAGAAAAAGCAGAAAAATGCAAAACCAATTTCCATTATAACGATGAAAGCATAAAGGGCAATGCCACGTAAAAACAAAAGATCAAATCCAAACGAGAGAAGCCTGGAAAAAAAAATGCAAAAAGAAAACTTTAATTATTTTTGTTAGGAAACGGTAACCATTCATTGATATGATGAAAAAGGATATAAAAAGTTCCTATCTAAAACCGATAACAAAATACAGTAACACGATAGTTTGTAATTGAAAATAAAGAAGAATCCAGAAATTACTAGCCGCATTTGCAAGGACCTGAGAATGTTCAACGAACACCCATTTCCAAAACACTCCAATTCTTGAATTTTAAAACCAACTTTAAGCATATATATATATCTTACCTTTGTAGGAAATCCAGGAGTCAACTGCTGCATGACTTGTTTCTTTATAGGGGCAAGCGCCCTAACCGTCTGGAGACCTTCTGAACGCCTATGCAAATATTAAACAGAACGCGATGATATATATCGATAGATAGATAGATAGAAGAAAAAGAATCAGAAAGTGATGATTCTGAAATTATAATGAAGTCAAAGTACTAATTTGATAAATCAATTTCTAATATAGCCTATGCAAGTTCAAACAATACATCTTTTTTCCGGCAAAATACCTTAAATTCCAGATAAAAAAGGCACTACATTAATAAGATTCATCAACTTATGAAGTACTTTACCATATATAGTCAACAGTGCCCAGAAAACACCTATTGTAACTAGTCGCCAGGGGTTCTCCATTCAAGTCTCTGGTCCCGGAAAAGTCCTGCAAATATGCCATACTACAGAATCACGGAAGTGTTTCCAAAGGAAGAATACATTTAGGAAAAAGAAAAAGAATCATATCAAGTGGTTGTCAACATTTGCATTGGAGGAAAAGAAATATATTGATAGAATCTTCTACCTCAACTTCTGTATATGTGCTTCTAAGCTTTAGAGGGTGTTCGATTAAGGGACAGTCTGCATTGCCAGTTGCAGTTTCTATTTCCATGGGAGTCCATGATGAGCGATCATAAATAATATTTTCAACCTCAAAAGGCTTAGTATTCAAGCCTGGTAACAAAGCATCTTCAACTCCAGTGTGTGAATGGCCAACGGATTGATGAATCTCGGATGAAAAGGGATCGTCAACATCATGCAGAGCTGAGAGAAACGTACGATCATCCTCAGTTAAGCCTCCATCTAACGCGGCTACATCCTGCTCATCTGCGACTAAAACCTTAGGTCTCTCATCCACTGCTGCTGAGTGAATACTGAGCGAAGACAATGATGAGCCAGCTTCACTATTTCTAGCACTGTCAGCAATGGAGTTTTGGCGAGTAGATGTAAGAGGAGCATTCTCCGTGTCCAATAAATTTGTCGGTGAATCAAGCTGTGCATCATCTAAGATAATATTATCGACACTGTTTTTTCTTTCCTTGTGAAAATTGTGGTCTGTATCAAAACCATCTGTAGAAGATTTATGGTTGAAACGAGAGGTATGAACTTTCTCCATCTGTTGTTTCTCAGTTACATTCAAATGAAGTTCTTCAAGGTCAGTTCCTAAAGAAGATTCTAAGTCGCCGACTTTTTCACTGGTATGATCAACAGTAAACTCATCTTTAGGACATGTGATTGAACTTTCGTTGAAGCTGTCTATCTTTTCGCAGCCAGCTACATTTTTGTGGTCAAAAGAAGTACTATGCTGACTTTCCTTTTGCCCTTCAGAATGAAGAGTAATACCCTTCATTCCAAGTTGGAGATCGTTACAAGAATTATCAGATGCATCAAAGACACTGCAATTACTATCAGGGGGCAACGAGAGGTTCACCGGTGGAAGATGTGGACGATCTTGTTTCTGTGTGTCAGATATTGAACTATCTGGCTTCCTTTCAATATCTCTAGATTCTGACCTCAGTTGGAGAGGAACTGAAACATTGACAGTCTGAAGCCTGCACATTTGACAAGGTCTTAGTTTGATTTGTGCATAAACCACCTATCTTTACGACGGTCGCATTGCAGACTATCAGCCAGAGCAAAAATTACCGAGGATTATGATAGAGTGGTGAAGGTTGATGAATCTCAGCAGAAGCTTGACCTGAAACCTTGTCTCTGTCCAATCCAGACAAATCCAACTGTAATAGAGTGAAAATACATTGATTATAGGATTTCTGCCAGACATCTTAACTATTAACATGGAGACAACCCTTTAAAAAGTTTTACCTTTTGTTCCGTAATGAAGTTATATAATGCACTCTGCAATTAAAAAAAATATATTATTACTGTAATCGTATTAAAGAAAATTAAAATTAAAGACATCAAAAGATCAAACTGCATCACACATTTACTTCAAGGGACTAATAAGAATGCGCAACAAGATAACCTTTGGTGTACAGTTAAAATCCCCGCAGAGAACAATCGGAGCATTGTTCCAGAGTTTTGAAATGGAAGCAGCCTTCTCCAAGAGAACCCTGACCTGTTTACAAGTAACATAAAAGCTAAGCTTACAAAAGCGATCATGAAAAGATTTGTAACTTGACATGATAGCTATACAGAGGGCCTAATGCATGCCCCCATACATCTTCACTGGAGCTTTAGAATTGCATTATGAGGAAAACTTTTACAGCATAATGCTGACTTGCAGTATCAAGGACTAATAAGGAGCAGCAACTGTACTGATCTATCTACTCTATCTGATAAAGAGAATAGAATCTGAGAATCAGAGAATACCTGGCCAAGCTTGATTTCTCCTCTTTTAGGGTTGTACAGGACATGTATATTACATATTACAACTTTATTGAGATTTGATACGCTGCAAGGATAAAGGGGAAGAAAAAAGAACAAATATCAAGGGAGCTCTAAATTAATTCTAAAGGAAAAATCATGAAATGAAAGATCAAATGTTTAATTAACCTAAATAATTAATACCATTGTTCATGAAGCTTCCTCAAGACTAATTAACTTAAAGACAGCAAAGAGAGCTTAATAGCAAAAGATAACTCCTAATTTACCTAACTGGTGGAGTAACTG